CGTTTCCTCGATGGCCTGTAATGACAATGGGACATATGTGGTCAGGCAATCACCATCTTTAAAAAAATGATGTTGGAGAATAAAAGGCTTAATCATTAGGAAAGACTGGGGTGCGGGGGTGGGGTACATGAATTAAAATGCAGATTACCAGAAATTACCACCCAGAGCAGTTTTCAAGATGCCCATGTAATCCTCCTAGGTGTTACAGCAGGCCCACCCCATCAGGTATAAGAGGCTTCAGGGCCATCAACAGTAGATACACAACAGTGTTCCCCTCAGCATGCTTGATTTCAGGTTTTTGTCTTGCAGATTAACAGGGCGCCCAAGGTCAGTGTTAAAAATAAGATCCCCAAAGCACGGAAGAGTCTAGATTTTCAGAAAGCTCTGCCAAATGGCATTTGCCCAGCAGCCCAAGCTACTAACCAGCATCATCAGTTTAAATAGGAGAAATGCCTCTTCTCCTTCTTGTGACTGTTTAGGGCACTTGTGTGATATGAAGACGAAGCTTCAATTCTTGGTCACGGCATTTTATCACTTGGGCGACTAAGGGTAACCCCAAGGAACATCTATTCAATTGTCACACCTCTCCCCACTCCGTAAAAAAGACATATTATGAAATAAATGTTAGCCAAGAAACTTAAAAATACAAAAAAAGGATAAAGAAAAAAATGAAAATTACTCATAATCCCACTGCCCACTGCTTCCTCTGGGTGATTTTTGTTCCTATCAATAATATGTATGGGAATGATTAGGATCAAGCCAGTTTTATGACCCAATTTTTTCACTTGTTATATTGGAAGCATTTGTTAAGAATTTTCCTTAAAATATAATGTCTTAAGTAGGACAGGATTCCAGTTTTTTCTTTCTCAATGTTAGGGTTTTCTCCCCCTCAATTAAAAAAAGAATACGTGCTGGGCCAGCCCGGTGGCGCACTGGAGAGTGTGCTGTTTGGGAGCGCAGCGGCGCTCCCACTGAGGGTTCGGATCCCATGTGGAGACCGGTTCCCGCT